CTTGTTTTGTGTGTGAGCGTGAGAGAGAGAGAGAGAGAGAGAGAGAGAGAGAGAGATTACATAACTGAAGTCTGCTTTATGAAAACTGAGAGAGGCGTGATGTTCCAGACTGCAGATATTGAGCTCCAACATCAGAAGGACCACTAGTGAGCTCTCAGTCACATCGAAACCTGGCTTTCACAGCTAGTTTCAAGGGGTCCTATTATGCTTTTTCACTTTTTCAACTTTAGTTAGTCAGTAATGTTGCTGTTTGAGCATAAAAAAGATCTGCAAAGTTACAAAGCTAACTTAAGAGTGGTTACAATCATCCGGGTTTAAATCGCGCTCAAATTGATTTTATTTGCAATATTTACACTGAAGCTCGCAGGCAGCTATGGTAAGGGGCATGCCATTTCCCCACCAGGCGCTGAGTGCTGCCAATCACAACACACACTGACCCAGCTAACCAATCACAACACACACTGGCCCAGCTAACCAATCACAGCACATTTCGTATTTCAGCTGTACCTGTTAATAATATTTAATGGACCTGAAATAACATGAACGTTACTAAATAATGTAATAAATATATTGCTCATTGTTAGTTAAAGGGATAGTTCACCCAAAAATTTAAATTCGGTCACTATTTACTCACCCTCAAGTTGTTCCCAACCTGTACGAGTTTCTTTCTTAAACATAAAAGAAGATATTTTGAAGAATGTCGGTAACCAAACACTTGACGGTAGCCATTGACTTCCATAGTATGAAGAAATGTCAATGGAAGTCAATGGGGACCAGAAACTGTTTGGTTATCCAAATTCTTCAAAATATCTTCTTTTGTATTCAGCAGAAAAAAGAAAGAAATTCATATAGGTTTGGAACAACATAAGGATGAGTAAATGACAGAATTTTTGATTTTTAACTATCCCTTTAATGTTAGTTAATGAATTAACTAATGCTAAGTACTGAGACCATATTGTAAAGTGTTACCAAATATTATGATAACAAATATTCAATATCAAGCAGCATAATGGACTGTTTTTGTACAGCTAAAATAACTGGACATGGCTGGAGATAGCTGAGCCCACTCTTAAGGTAAAAATACAGTGATTACAGTTTGCATCATAAGTTTGCATTCCCATTACAGAATCGGTCAATTCTGTATTCTTTTAAAATTCAGGCCAGAATATAATAAAAAATAAAAAAAGAGAAAAATTAAATCATATTATATAAATTAGATCATATATAAGTTTGCATTCCCATTACAGAATCGGTCAATTCTGTATTCTTTTAAAATTCAGGCCAGAATATAATAAAAAATAAAAAAGAGAAAAATTAAATCATATTATATAAATTAGATCATATATTTTTTATGCAGTTCCTCCCTAGAGTAGCAGCATAACCAATATTTAACTATTCCACAGCTAAAAAATTTATTTTTTAAAAAATCTTAATTTTTTACATACCTTTAATATTGTGCCTTGCCTCCTCAAGCATCAGATGTTTGCAACATTTTGTGAATTCTGCATGAGGCTATCAACTGTCCTGAGTGGCAAAGCTGGATCTCAACATCATACATCCCCTGTAAAGAATAACAAAAGAATGTAATTTTTTTGTAAGGGGTATGTAAATTTATGAGCACAATTTATGCACAGTATTTATATATCAATCACATCTGTCATCATAAAGCACAGACCACTTTTGAGAACTGAGAAACAACATCAGTAGCATTTCCATTGGTACAAGATTCAGCATTGTACAATTACAAATCATTCCATGTACAGATTTCTCAGCACGGTTAGCTAACCGAACTCTGAACAGAAGTACCATGATGGTGGAACAGCTTTAGTGATGTGGCAACTCATGAATGTTCACTTGTCAGTTGCTAGGGTAACTCTGGTGTTGCTAGGTAGCTAACCAAACTAGCATATATGTGGTTAATGGAAGAACAGAATAGAAGAAAGCCTGAAACATTGGTAATAATGTATTTGATTTCTTACACACATTCTAATCCTGATTCCACAGCACCTCAGTGGGGGAAAAAAACTTGTAATTGTGTCAAAAAGGGCGGATCAATACAGAACGGCACGATCTAGCTACTATAACCGTTCAGTCTGATGATGAGCTCTTCTGATACAGTTGTCTACTTCCTGCCTGTAAGCCACTGCTGTTGCAGCCTGCAGACTTGTAGCTCCAGAGAGCAGGAGGTGGAGTGGTGTGCGTGCAGCCTGCACAGTTATCTCTCATCTCAGCCGCCGGCTAAATTGAAAGTGACACCGGTGAAATTAAGACAATCGACAGCCAGGTGAGGCCAGTGGCCTTGTCCACAGCATTTACTCATGAATCTTGGACAGATGAATTCATATGCACTGCCTCCTCCGTCAAGCAGCACTCTCTCTCACACATAAACAATCTCACGCACACTTACATGTCATGTTGTAAAACTCAAGGTAATAACAAAAGCCATAGCTGTTTTTTGTATAGCTTGTGCCTGAAAAGCGCTCATCTGAGACCTGTCAATGTAATCATCTGACTGCAGCATAGCAGTGCAAAAGCTTTACAACATTTGCTGTGTTTTTTTTTCACTATTCCTGCCTATTTTTTTTTTCTAAATTTAACGGCGGATGGCGACCTAGGAGTCAGCGCTGTCGTGGTGACGCTGATGGATTTATGCAAATGTCAAGGCTGGCTTTGTGCTGTGGCTGTAGCCTTTTGGAAAGCATGTCTCCAGGGAGGGAGACTGGGACTTGGAATGCAGTTGTTTCATCTTCAAAGGCTCTCCTGAAAATAAGCAGACACACTAAATCACCTGCTGGCTTTATTTATTTATATGGTGATGTGCAGAACAGGCAAGTACAGCTGAGGGCTCGCGGGAGAAAGAGAAGGATACATAAAATGGTCATTTTTATGCTACGGCCTCTGTATGTCAGCAGATGACAACCATAAACAGCATGTTAGCCAAAGTTAATCTGTCATGGTTAGTAATTTAGTTCTTAGAACACAATACTTTTACAACATTTATTATGTTGGTTAATGTTATACTCTACCTACCGTTCAGTAAAGTTTGTGGTCAGTACTTTTTTTTACACAAATTAATAATTTTATTCAGCAAGGATGCATTAAATTGAGCAGAAGTGACAGTAAAGACATATATAACATTACAAAATATTTCCATTTCATATAAATACTGTTCTTTTGAACTTTCTATTCATCAAAATATCCTGAAACAAATCACAGTTCCAACAAAAATATGAAGAACTGTTTTCAACATTGATAATAATGATTAATGTTCTTGAGCAGAAAATTAGTATATTAGAATGATTTCTGAAGGATCATGTGACACTGAAGACTAAAAGTAATGGCTGCTGAAAATTCAGCTCTGCCATCACAGGAAAATTACATTTACATTTATTTTAAATTGTAATTTTTTTTTTACTGTGTTTTTGATCAAATACATGCAGCCTTGGTGAACATACAAGACTTTTTTAAAAAACATAATATTGTGTGTTAAAATTAGTTAATGCATTAGTTAACATGAACTATGGCCAATTTATTTTACAGCATGCAATAACATTTGTTTTGTATATTTAGTTCATGTTAACTAAAATAGTTAACTCATGTCTAAAATCTTACCAAACTCATTTTTTTGAATAATAGTGTATATTCTACATATAATAATACATTTTATACATTAATAATAACAGTTCAAATTATACATTAGGTCATGTATTATGAACAAGCATGAATTAATAATGAACAATAGCATATTTATAAATCAACATTAGCCTACATTAATAAATGCTGTAAAGAAATGAGCTGCTGTAAGCCATGGACATCCAAACATGTGCATAATAACAGGCTGCCTAATATGAAACAGCTCACAATCCCCAGCATCACCAGAGAAGAAAACCCTGCCACAGGCCATCACTTGGCACATTCCCAACAGTCGAAGGGCTGATAGGCAGATGCATTATACACAAAGGGGTCAACACTGTACCACACAAGATAGAGTTGAAAGTGTCCTGGTCCTGCTAAAACATTCTGTAGCTATTATAAAGCTTCACAGCAGGCTGGTTTTGAAAGTGTCATTTATTTTAGGATAAATTGAAAAGACCTTAAAAATAAATATATTTAGGAAAACAATAAAGATATGGTAATCTAAAAAATGTGGTACCATCTAACTCCCTCTGCCATCAATATCTGTCTTTGTGTGTAAGATGGAATAAGGAACTGTTTCTATATCTCTATACTCCTCTACATCTAGGTTACGTAACAAACATTTCATTGAAATCAACCTGTATATACAGTAAGCTCAAAATAACTGAAAATAGCCAGCTTTGTTTGAGAAAGTTATTTTTTCACTCTTTCAATAAAGCACAAGCTAATGTTGACAGTCATGTCCAGACATGGCATTACATACATGAAAAGAGAGAAAAAAAAAACCTACTTTAACTCCAAAGAGCCTTCTTTAATCAAATCATTCTGCCAATTGAGCTGCTTAATCTCCCCGAGATACAAAGGAGAAGATCCTGTAGGTATAAAAATATCAGTCAGATAAATTCAATTATAACTGATCTGACATGTTGTAGATTTTTAGATCATTTACAGCGACATGCCATGTGGGATCCTGAGAGCTACACTGCCACCTCTTGGTCAAATAAAGTCTGCTCCACATGTTGAAGTAAAGTAGACTGCTGGCCTTGTGTCAAACCAGAAGAGTCAACAATTAATAATGTGGCTATTATGATAAAGGAACAAGTAGTCAGGAAACAGGCCAGTGCAGATGTTAATTTACACAAAGATCAATATGGTGACTGGAAGGATGGAATAAACATCTGTAGTGTGTGTGCATGTGTGTATGTACATGAATTATATTCACCATCCATGAGCATTGATCTCATTGATGGTGGCAGATTGGAGAGTGTTGATATGGACATTTTTGGAGGCTTTCAGATGCATTTTTGAGATCAAGCAGAGAGCCAGTTCCGTTCTTGCCAGAACAAACAAGGTTTTTAATAGGCAAGACTCTTTGAGAAGAACTGGTTGTTTCTGCAGGTAAGAGTGCATGGATGCATTCCACACAATCTATACCGTAATTGCAGCTACACTTTTGTTAGCATATGTTCACCACTGAAGTACTTAGGGTTGCTTTTATGGTTTGAGGGCTTTTTTAGCCATGGAAAATAACATTAGTGGGGTAGTGCTGCAGAAAGGCTGAACAGCAGCAGAGTAAGAGACATTCAGCACTATGGCAGGGCAGGACAGCAGGAGAACACAGGCATATAAATGGAGGAGTGCGGCCATTGGCAAGGCGGCTCAGGGGAGATATTGTACACCGAATAGGTTTGGAAAAGCGCAGATTGAAAAGAATAAGCAGAGGCAGTGCTCAGAAGAATGGAGAACGCTGAAGCCTTAAATCTAGATGGTTTGGTTTAACCCCTCAATAAATCCTATTAATTAAAATAAAATGTATATAAAAACAACTAATTATAAATTATTCTCATTTATATTGTCATTACTCTACAGCCAAAATAAATTATTATTATAGTATAAATTATATTATCTGGAGAACATAAATGTATAAAGATGACTCTTTTTTTTTTTTCTATCCACAATTAGAATAATGCAAGATGTATAAATATTAAATAAAAACAAACAAGCTTATTATTTAAAACTATGGCAGCAATATTATAATTAATAAAAAATTTAATGTCTTAGTTTAACATTAACTTTGACAGTTCTAAAAAATGTTTACAAAATTATTATTATTATTTATATTAAGACTTACTTGTGCCCCCTTTCTAATAGGGGTCATTTTTTTCTTTTGTAATTTATTACATCTGCAGTTTTACATCCCCATTGGCCTCCCTATAATCCATCTTACTTATACTAAAACCCCTCTTGAATTCAGGATCCATACACTGCAGGTCTGTTCTTAAACCAAATCAAAGCAGTACTCAAGTGCACCAGCGTGCATCTCTTAAAATCCCAGATGACAACACTAACCTGCACTGAAGCACTGCAGGCTAATAACAGTCCTTATTGCCTTTTCTCTGAGGTTCTCAAATTGCAATTTCAACTTTAGCAGTCTAGGCCATAAAACCACACAACAGTTTGGCAAACAGTGGTTTTAAAATCCACAAAACAAGATCTCATACCAAGACTAGACACGTCTCAGACAAGCCTAACTGTCCTGTTAACTCTGATCAGCTTTAATAGTCCTGATTCTGATCCCATCCCATTAGTGAATATTCAATTAAATCTGAGTGGGTGTGCTCCCTGATATGTGTGAAAGCCCAGAGGCTTACAGAGGGGTAATTAATAAGAGTGCATGAGATTAACTGACTCCCCTCCTCACTGAGACCAGCAATGCTGCTGCTTTATTATACCACTAAACACGTTCAGATTCAAATGAACACTGATGGTGAACACGCTGTTAAATCCAAAGCAATTTTTGCATTGAAGTCAGTGGAAATTATCTTCACCATACAACTCTACACTGAGCCTATTTCATCTAGATGTAATATAGTGACATAAGCGTAGAGCTTCAGTAGATCTGAGCCTGTGTGTGCATTCAGATCT